GCGTGTCATATATGACGCAATTATTAAAGTGTCTCGGACATCATGCTTATTGCGATATTTAATGCGTACAAGTAGTTTTTCGATCATATTCAATATCGAGTGACATAGCTGATTTCCTGTTAAAACGAGGCAATTTGTCGTATTTACTATATTGCAATTATAAGAGTTATTCCGGCAAAAGACGAGTGTCCATGTTACAAGCGTGCAGAATAAATTGCAAATGTCATTTGGACGATATATCATTCTATTTAACCATGATTTGCAGGAACTTTGATATTCCTCGCTTCTGACGTCATCACTTCAATATGGCTGCGGTGACTACGCGGAGCTACTTTAATTTAATTAACTTTCAACTCGTTACGCTTAAACATTATTATTTGAAACATACTTCAGTTACTTTTATGGAGTGAAATGAGGAAGTTATATTTTCAAAGCAAATTTTAATAAATTCAAATGGTGGCTCAAATTGACCTATCCCCTCCCCCCTCTCCGCGAGAAGCGAGTATTTGGGTCGGAAAAAATGGCGCGTCTACTTGAGGGTTAAACCGCATTTTTCTCTTCCTTTCTCGTTGTTATCCTCCTTTCCGGCTTCACGCTCTCTCGTTTCGAGGCAATATTTATTAGTTTCGTAATTCCTTTATTATTTCTCGGCCGGCGGTTTCGTTACTCGCACTTTGTACGACTCAGACGTAGTCTCGGGGACTCGCTTGTAAATATGTACGAGCTAGAGACGAGCCCCATTTTTGTATGTATGAGTCGCGGTATGTGGCCGTCATACATAAACGACGACTGCGAGAAAGATTCGATCGCGGAATCGATACGACGGGCGGACGGCCTCGAATCGAGTAGCGTTAAACGTCCTCTCGCTCGACTGCATTTTCCACGGTTAAGCTCTCCTCGTGGCGGCAGCTCGGGGAGAGCCTGAAGGGCTTCATCGTCGACGCAAAAAGCGCCATTGGCGAGACGCTATCGTGCGGGGATAGGGGGAGGGGGAGGGGGAGGGACACCACCTAGTTTTTATTCCCCTCCATTACACAGGACCTTCCCGAATGGGCCACAGGAGAGGACGCATGACGGGTCATTACGCATTCATGAAGATTATATGCAGTTCGGGCACGTCGCGCGTGGGAAATTGGGCCCCGAGATTGTCCTTATCGTCATAAATCACGTTTGATATCGTCGACTTTTCCTTCGCCGTGTCCCGCCGAACGTGAAATCTTTCGGAAACCGTCGAATCGCCCTCTTCTTTCGCCCGATGACTCCGCCGACGACGTCCCCGTGTCGCATTAATTCACGGACTAATAAACGCGAAATCGCGCGGCGAAGATAAACGACGGGGCGGGATAAGCGCGCGTTACTTCGCCGTCGCGCGGGCTTTTTCGCCAATATTTCCCGCTCGGGGGGCGTCGGATCCGCGCGCGGAAGAGGAACGCCGATGTTTGGGCACGACTGCGGCAACGAGAAGCGAGGATTTTGTCGGTAACGACTGTATCGCGTGCTCGCGATAATCAGCACGAGGCGGACCGAACGGGACCGAGGAAAGGAGGGTAATGAGTCGGGATTGGGGATGAAATTAAAAAGAGGCAGACCGCGCCTGAATTTAACGCGATTCTCTTCTCGCAGCGCTTGCTCTTGATACCCCGAGATTGAAATCATACCGCGAGGAAAAACGAGATCCCTCCAGGAGCCGCTTACGAATTATACTGTGAAGTAGCAAGCGGCGAGCGTAAAAAAGTGCTCGAGCACGAAGACAAAGTTCAATTCGCCGCACTCTCGACTCGGCTTCGTCGTTAATGCCATTTCTTTCCGCATAGAAAATTTCTTGGGATCTGATTGGGATCCAGCCCGATTTCGCAAAACAATTAAGGGTTCTGAATAGAAGTGTAATGTTTTAAGTATGCGATTCTGAGTAGGGAAAATTTTCCCGATACTTTTTCTTATCTTCATTTTACGTCCGAGTTAAATAAAACATGTTGATTTTCCAAATTATTTTCCTATTCCAGTAAAGTGCTAAAAATGTTGTCAATTTTTATTTTTCATATTCTCTTCTATTGTATACAACGCAGAAAAACCAGTATAGTTGACCTACACATAAATCTGGTGGTGTCAACCAGATGCGATATTGAATCTGGTTAATATTACTAGATTTATGTGTGGGCCAATCATACTGACGTTTCCGCGAATAGTTGGTAAAACTGTGAAATTTCTTGTTTGAAAAGTATACCGACATTACTGACTGAAAAAAGAGCGAGTTCCCATCTCTGTTTCGATTCTGAAATTCTAGAATGTTTGGGACAAAGGTTGAGATTCCCAATTGATATCGTAACTAATAGATAACCAAACAATTTAGGGACAAATATTTGGACATTCTACTCTGTGCTGCGTCTGGGGAAATTTCTATGCGGGTATTTCGATCTCCGCGCTGCGATGAAACATCCGCGATACAATCCACGAGAAATTGGCGCTCTTGATCGTTCGAGATCTCGACCAAAGGGCGATAAATCAGGATTCCTTCACCCAAAAAAAAGTATTCTACAAAGTGAATTTTCCTCTAACCTCATGTTCTAAAAGAAATATCTTAGAGAAAGCATATTCATCTTTTATTAAAGGGAACCACTCATCGTGCATTTATGAGATATTATACTAATTATGTTCCTCTATATCAAGAGGAATATGTTAATTTGAAGCACAATGCCATACATGCAGTACGAGAGACGCGAAGAACTGTTGTTTCGCTGCGTACTGTCGTGTACGATTGGTTGAAACTAAGCGCCACGCTTAGAGCTTCCACCGTCAATTCACTGTCGACGTTTCAATCAAATCGACGTTGAAATCGTTAAACCGACGTCAGTTTGATATCATTTTGACGTTAATCAACGAGTCATTTTTCACTGGGTATATAAATGTCACAAACATGAAGTCTTAAATAGCTCAGGGAAGAGCGGTTGCCTGATAAGCGGAAGAACCTGGGTTCAACCTTAGCCGAGTCTGATATTTTTCATCTCATATGGCATTAAAGTGGACATCTACAGATACACACAAGCACCCCGGTCAAAGTTTTCTGATCTTTCTTTCGTGTGGATGCGATAAAATTTATTAATCCAAAGAAATATTTTTGAGTTGAAGTAATATATAAGAGAAAATTTAGATTAAGAACAAATAAACTTGCACTGTGTACATTCAATATGAAATTCCTTTATCTTTGTATGAAATAGAATTGTGAAATAGAATGTTTAAGATTATTTTTCTCTTGATTTCAAAGCAATCCTCTTGAGGCCATATATAAGAGTAAAATCCTCTAAGGTTTAGAGAATTCCACTTTTATTAAAATTATTTTTTTTTGGGTGTTGCATTTTAATAAGCCCGACAGCGCCGCCGTCATATTTCACTTACGTACGCGCCTAAGTCACCGGGCCGCAAAACGTCACGCGAGCGTCGGGACGAGCCGTAATTTCCATCAGCTGCGGTAAGTGGTCCGAGCAATAATCACGTGAGAACGCAATTTTACGGTCCGCCGTGCCGTGGCAGGGCTCGCAGTTAAATTTCTATTGCTCCCTCGCCGCGCCGCACCTCGCCCCGCCGTTGGCCGCAGAGAGTCATTATTTCGACGCATCGGTTAATTTTACGGCACGTCCGAAATATATCCGGTCGAAGGATGCGTCGTGTTGTCACTCACGGCAATGCGAAATTGCTTGCGGTAGCGACGCAAGAGCTCTCCGCATTCACCGTCGAACGCGTCGCCGCCGCGGGCGGAACGGTAATCTCGACGTCCGACTTTTAACGTACAAATTATACGGATTTTTCGAAAACGCCGAGGAAGAGCTTGACGTGTAATATATAAATACACCGGCGCCTCACATGCCGCGCTTTTATACTAACCGCACGCTTTCCGCATACCGTACGATAGAGAAACGGCTCGAGAGAGAGAGAGAGAGAGAGAGAGAGAGAGAGAAAGAGAGAGAGAGAGAGAGAGGCGAGTCTGTACATGTAAGGTTCACCGATTCATTCTCGTCGCATCGCATAAATACACGAATTATCAATCGTATAACAAAAAAGATACACACTATATTCTCCATTTATAGTCGTTTGCACAAAGTTTGCGACATTTTTCTCTCTGGCGAATTTATACAATACAATATGGTCACCCGAAGAAATATAATCTTATTTTTAGCGGAGTTCTCTTGTATATAGCCTCAAAAGGATTCTTAAAACCAAAAAAAAATATTCTTAACACAATATCCTTAAAGTTAGAAGAATTTTATTTTTCATTTACAAGGTTTGTATTTGATAGAAATTTTTCTAGTAAGAGGACACTCTGTTTTAAGTTTTTTATTCCTCTTGATTCAAAAGGGAGAAAAGTTTAAATAATATCTAGTAAATTTCCGTTTAATAATTTGCTTCATTAGAAGAGGAATAGTCTTTCGGCAGGAGTTTTCGCTTGGTATCACAGGAAAGAACGTCTTGCAACTAGAATTCATTTTGTTGGGTTTAGAAAAATTCTCATGAGGTCAAGAGGATTTTCCGCCAAGAATAAGATTGCATTTTTACACTCTCTGCAAGTGAATTAGTAAGAATATTCCTGATTGAAACAGTAAAAGAATTATTTCACCGATAATTAGCATTAATTGATTTTCAGTGAAAGCATTCCCACTTTATGTTGTTCCTTATTTCTCACTGATTTTGACCCGTGGAAATAAAATTCCGCAAAATCTGTGATACACAAATTCGTTATACCTTACACCATTATCCAACTTTCTGCCTTTGTGGCGATGGAATTAACGGCTTCCATACGCTTTGCGTGCAATAATACTGTGTTTGCAAAGTGCATCATACATATAGAAATGTATCATATATATAGAATCATATATGTAGAATATAAGTGCATCATATATATATATATATATATATATAAGGATCAGAATAGCAGCGATTTTTTATATATATATATATATATATATATATATATATATATATATATATATAAAATCGCTGCTATTCTGATCCTTTCAGCGAGATTTTACTGATTGCAGTACTGAATCAGCAGTTATAAGTATAATAGTATTTCAGTGAAGAATACACTGATTTTATATCTTAGAAAATACTCTTGCTTAAAAATAAGAATATAAGTTATTTGTATACATCTCGTATTAAAACATCTGACAGTTCTGAAACCTTTCACAAATACGCGAACTCATGCATAGAGGTTCGCCAGTTTCGTTAAACTCGTCTATAAATCCGTGAAGAAGAAAGTATCGCAAACTTGATGAGCAAACAACTATATATTAAACAGTCATCATTTATCAGATATCACGTCCTTCTCCAGACTCTTGCTTTTTTCGATACTGTCGTACTTGAGAATCGGAATGTCCGTGTTTTGTATCACGAGCGTGCGCGATTTCTTGTCGAGGATCGTTTGGATCTCCTGCAGAGTCTTGTTCTTGGTCTCGGGCAGGATGAAGTACAAAATGCCGGTCCCGATCAGCGCCACGCAGCCGTAAACGGCGAACGTGCCCTCGGGCTGGATGAGCTCCATCATAGCCGGTGTCGTCTTGATCACCACGAAGAAGCAGAAGAAACCAAAGCCGGACGCGAGCCCGGAACCGAGCTCGCGAAACTTCCTCGCGAACAGCTCACCGCACAGTAGCCACGGCAAGGGCACTAGTCCCAACTGCACTAACGCGATGTACATGAGAAGCAGGACCACGGGCATCCACGGTTTTCCGATTTCAAACGCCAGACACGCGCCCAACGCTAACATAGTGGCTGCCACGCCGAAGCCGGACAGGAATGTCATCGCGCGTCTGTTGCATGACTTCATGAGCACGCACACAATCACGCCGGCTATCAGACGAATCACGTCGATCACTAGCATGATAAGGTACGCGTTGGTCAGTCCTGAAACGTCCGCCAACATCTCCACGCAGTAGAAGCTCATGACATTAGCACCCGCGAACTGCGTGGTGAAGAAATATAGGCAGGTGATGGCGAGAGGCTTGAGGAAATATCGCGAAGACCAAGTCTTCCGTAGAGAACGCAACAGCGACCGCTTGTTGGCTTGCTCCTGCTTGGAGTCCGCGAGCCTGGAGTTCTCCAACAGAACGAACTCCTCGAGGCAGTGCTCGCCACGTAAGAATATCCACGAGCGCCTCGCCCGCTCGAGCTCGCCTCTGCCGAGCAGCCACATCGGGCTCTCCCGCGAGAATAAACTGATGACCCAGCAGACCAACGTCATCGCGCCGCAGACGTACGCGGTGGTCCGCCAATGCAGCCAAGTTCCCATCGCGTGACACGCCAATATGCCCATGGAGAGGGTCAGGCTGATCGCCCCCAGTAGAATGCCACGCAACAACGGATCGCTGGTCTCGCTCACGTAGATCGGCACGATGGGCGCGAGTATGCCCACGCAGTAGCCGATGAGCAGCCTGCCGGCCACCAAGGTCTCTACGCTGCCGGCGAGGCCGATGATTAGCCAGCCGACGAAGAAGACGGGAAACGACAGCAGCATCGACATTTTCCGACCCAGTCTCTCCGCCAAGACGCCGCCGGTCCAACAGCCCGGCGCCATTGGCAGCACCGCGGCCGCCGCGATCCATGACTCCTGGTCGATGCTCAGCGTCCCCAGGTTATCCGTACTCGCATTCGCACTCGTATTCGACGAAAAGTCGTCGCTGCCGTTGAACGCGGCCAACTTGAGCTGCGGCAGCAAAATCGCGCTGTAACCGTTGGACATGCCCGATGTGGTGACTCCTAGCAATGGTGCCAAGGCAGTCAGTAGTTGTCTGAGATACAGGATCTTGTTGTCCGGCCCGTCACAGTCGTAGATCTTCATCGCGACGTTGGAAGACCACCGGAGACCAAGTAACAAGACTGAGAGAGATCTGGAGACGTTGACGAGAAAAGACAAGTCTGACGATCGATCGTTGCGCTGTCTCTCTGTAGTTTACGTATGTTCTTGATAACGCAGCATAGGTTGACGCGATAGGTTGTCTGTTTAATTCCGTTCACTGTCTTCGTTTTCCCATGGGGTCCCGCAAAAGTGCGATTCTCCGAGACGCGTTCGGTTAGCCAAAAAAAACGGCGGTAGATAGCATATCGATCGGTGATGCGCGTAAAATAAACTATCAACCTCGACTTCCACACTGACAATCCGTGTCCGGGAGTGCGCGCCAGTCAAGTTGCTCGGCGCGATTTCTCCGGGTTGCTGAGAGAAAAAGAGAGAAAGAGAGAGAGAGAGAAAAAGAGGGAGCGAAAGAGAGATTGCGTCTTATCGCTCCCTCTTAATAACTGTCACTACTGGCCAATGCATCCGCGCACTAACTGTGACCGTCACGATTCCACGTGACACTTGAAACAATAAGTTCATGCGAAGATAAATGCAGAATAACACGTGCGGGCCTGGCAGTTGCGCAAACAGCGGCCGGCGAGTGCCCAATAATACTGCTGCAGTTGCATTAGTAATCGCACTAAACGCATCGCGGCCAAACAAACGATCATCCGTTGCGCGTATCGTTGTTAGAAGGAAGAAGTTTAATTGTTTGCCCGCGGCCGAGCGCGCTCGGGCTCTCTTTAGCTCTTTTTAATAAGAAAACGTAAAATACAGGATATCCGCGGGCTATTGTACCATTGAACAGAGAGAGAGAGAGGGTGGGGAAAGGGGAAGAGACGGGAAGATCGTTCGCGGCACAAAGCAAATCGAAAATGAAGAGTACAGCACTTCTCTGTAGAGCATCGTTCCCGAGGAAATTGTATAGTTCCAGCTGCTACACGTGATTATCATGTTGACAGACTGGTAACTCGTAACTGATAACTCATATCGCTAATAAAATATAGCGCGGACGATAGAAAACTAACTATAATCGAGTCGATGTAGTGATTGACGCGGGAGACGCGGTCTTAATAAAAAATAATATTTTTCACGGTAATATTCAGAGCGATAATGTGCTCTTTTATCTCTCATGCGTTGTACACGACGACGTAAACACGCTTGATAAATTGAGAAGTATATTAAGGTTACGAAATAAGTTTCACGCGATCGATTTAATGACCTAGATATAGCAGATATTGTTGCGCAAAATTATTCAGCAGTAAAATATCTTTGTCACGATACGTTAACTACTAATTAAATAATGATAAGATTTTAGATTATCAAGGACCGACACCGTTACTGAGATTATGCTACAAGTACGGCATTATTGACGAGGCAAGACAATATCGATAAGACAACACCGACAAGATAAGATATCCGTTAGCCTAAAGTCTTAAATAGGGATTATTCCGTATTTAGTTGACATCAGTAGGGTATGCATAGATGGTGAGAATATTGGTTCGAGTGCGTGCGAGATTCTCGAGGCAAACCGCGATCGGCGTGGTTGCAAGAATGTTACGTATAAAATTGGCCCTCTCCGAGATTAATTTTTACTAAATTAATCCGAGATATAACTAAAAAATATAAATAATGTCAAAAAATATAAAATAATGTCACTCATATTTCACAACGAGGTTAAACAAATCTCGACAGTATAAATTACGAATTCCTCTGGGAAGCTCTTGATGTCGTTTATTTCGGAAACTAACAAAAAATTTTTAGAGATGTACACTCTACATTATCGACTTGTTTTTCCGCGAAGAATCAATCCCTATCTCATAGAACATCCTACATACATATCGCGATCTCAAGAGAGAAAAAACTCGCTTAATGTCGCCGTGTGTCAGACGTGTGATATCCTCTTACGAGCTAACAAGACGTAGTCTTTCCTGCAATGGTTTGAACAGCGTTACGATCCTTTTCAAAGGTTCCTTCCACGCTCGAAGCTGCTTAGGCGATATTCTTGGATGCGTACTTAGCGCCGCTACTAGGATAGAAATAATGCAAAGCAAGCAAAGGAAGCAAACCGGGAAGTGTCCCGTTGCAGAATTCCCATACAGCATGATTATTTCTAGAAGGTATCTTAGGAGTCGTCATGAGTCAGCCACACGTACACACATTTACAGAAAACAAGTATCTATTCCTGTTAATAACATTATACATATTAATACAATGAAGTAAACAGATATGAATGAAAATGGAGATTAAAAGAAGACTCGTTAAATCTTTACTCCCCCGAGATAAACCTGTAATTAGATATCTTTTTGTTCTGTCATTTGCGACGCGTGTCGAAGGAACCGATTTCACGCGCGTGATTAACGTCTTACAGCAGAAAAATTCGAGATTCACGTGCGACAAACTTACATAACTCTGCGATTCTACGTCCATATTTCTCCCACACGGTGAGTTCGAGTGTCGAAATAATCAACCGACGCGCTGCTCCGTCGTGTAGAAAAGCAGACGCGGCCGGCTGCGTGAACGCATATACGCCCCCGCATGAAAATGAAACTAAAACGTCCTGCGGTCCCGCTAGCCGTCGCAACGCGCGGAATACGCGCGGTATTTTAACTAGCTGAAAAGGGATTTAAATGATCTGGCGCGGGGCGGTCGCGGGAATTCGAGCGACTCTGCGGGCCGACAGTGCGTTTCGTATTTTGGCGGGCTGCCAAATGCGATTTTCGCGTTATTTATCTTTCGCGGGGGTGACCCACGCGAGGACAGGGAGGAAGAGAGTCGCGTGAGTCCGTCGGTGTATGCGCAGGCGGGTGGGCGGCCATGTATTTGTTACGCTGATTAAAAACCAACGCGCGAGAAAAGCGGTAATGCGTAGCGAGAGATATTTAACACGTTTTCAGGACCGCCGTGGGAATGTAATTAAAAGCTTCTGCTCCGCTAATACCCGTCGTTAATTTCGAATAATTTTCGCCGGTAGGAAGGAGCCAGGATTCAGGCCCGTTTGTAGAACCTCGCGATAAAGACGCAGAGAAGTCCCTCGCAAAGAAGAAAAATAATAAAATCCTTATATCTCTTTCAACATATTTCCGTCCCTAACTCGTTAAGATCCGCGCTCAGAGGACCCGAAGAGGTTACCTCCACGAATGATCTGATTTCTTCGGAAATGAACGAGAGAGAGGTCGTCTTCCATCTGCCGACCTCGCTTGAGCTTTCACCCGCAACTTTCGCAAGTCTCAAGACGCGCGCGACCTTTGGGTAGCGGCGTCCGTTTTTTAGAAACCGCTCTCCTTCCGTTCCTCTATCGTCGCTCCGACGACCGAGTAAATCAACAGAAATCAAGGGATCGGGCGGATAAACATCGAGTCCGCAGGGTGGGTTTCTCCCAATTTCATTACCGGCTTTCTCTCGAACTCTTTGGCAAATAATCGGGCGTGACGCGCTTGTCCACCTCAGCTCACGTCGCGTACGACCGGGGGAGATACGCCTTTTAATGTCGAGGACTCTCGAAAGTCTCGTTACCCCGCGAGTCTTTGCTGCACGACGTCGGAGGCAAGAGCCATTTAATGCGGCGGGCGCTCTCACGAGGATACCCGTCGAGACTCGCGGAGAACGAGAGTCTCGTGGGTGCATGTTGATGAACTCGAAAAGGAGTGATACTAGACTGCACTTTTCGCGGAAATAAAACGTACTGATAACTCGGTTCAGTGAAAGTTGCCGATTAAAAATACAGACATGCGGGATACGTTCGCTTCGATGAAACTCGCGTTGAAACGTTTTCCGCAAAAAGATCGCGAAACTGCGCAAGGTGATGTAATGTCGTCGACATAATTCTTAAACGGATGCGATGTTGACGAAGATTCTTCCTTATAAAGCACCAAAATTTCGTGGGAAATTTATAAGCGCCATCTCGGGAGAAATTTCTGAGAGACTTCAAGTAATTCTAAGGTTTAATATAAGTTTCATTCGTCTCCCCCCCCCTCTCTCTCTCTCTCTCCCGCTTCTTCCCCCGAATCTTTCAATCTCTGTCTATCTCTCTCTTTCCGCTCAGCCTCGTGTACAAGGGGGAGACTTATTTAACGGCGGATGCTCTTATGAGAGTGCATGTCGAGAACCAGGCAGGTCGGGGTCGTTTGTAGATGAATGTTGACGAGCTTTTGAGCACGAGGAGGCGCCGGAAGTACGGTGTTTCGCGACGACGAAACGCGAGATATTCGCCGTGATATGATAATAATAGGAGATCGCCGGTAATCTCGCGAAACCCCGCACGAAACGCTCGGCCGCGCGGAATACCAAAAGAAACTGGTAATTAACGTGATCGCCCGTCTGTTCTCGCCGGGTGCATCTGCGAGACGCACGAGATTGGTTACGTCAGAAACGTGCCAATTTGCTCTCATCGGGATTCAAGCTCATTCTATTTTAGGGCAGCCGCCTCACCGACGGCACATGCATGCATGCATATATGCATACATGCACGCACACGCGCACACACACCCATCATTAGCGGATAACATCTGTCCGCCGCGAAACGCAATTTGTACCGTTCGCATGGCGCGACTAAAAGCTTCGAGGAAGTCGCATCGCCAGCGTCGAACGCGGATAGACCAGCTCGCCGCGTGAGGAGATTGATGCGTTCCGGAGCAGAGAAAAAACAACTCGCGTGGGATGCATTTGTTCGGGGTTTTGGGCGAAGAGAAAGGGCCGCTCTCCTGCTGGAACGACCGGGAGAAAAGTTTCCGCGGCTGGCGTGGGGGCGAAGAGAGAGGCAGACTGGGGGTTGGGAGCAAATGACGAAGGTCGCGCGCGCGCGCGAGAGAGAGAGAGAGAGAGAGAGAGAGAGAGAGAGAGAGAGAGAGAGAGA